GTCAAAGTTTGACTTTTCAGTGTGCTTCTGGCCATTTTGCCCTTGTGGATGATTTTTCTTGAAAAGTTGTAATTCAAGACTTGAAACTTGATAGAAGCAAACCTGAGAGTCCAGGATGATCCTTTGAGAAACGAGAGGGCAAATTTTGGGGTACAACAGGATGCAAGCTATTTTGCGCAAGGCCTAACATTTCTCAGCAACTTCATACTTCCAACTTCCAACTTTAATATCTCCCTCCAAAGTGCATGAAATGAGACAAACTTTGAATCAAAGTTGGAGAGAACATGACAAGCTCCAACTTTTATGTTCAACATTTTTCTAAATAAGGTTTAAATCAATGAGATAAATGGCTATGAATGTGTGCATATCACATGTTTGATGAAATCCTGGCCTGGTATACGCGCGTGACATGCCTTGGTGTTGGGAAAAAATTCAGTTTCATGTCACCTACTTCCCATGACCATATCTTGAAATGTAAAGATTATTTTGAGAAAATTCTTATAGCAAAGTTGTTCATAACACATGGAGCTTGATCTTTGATGTTGGACACTTTTCAAAATAATGAATATTTCAAAGATAAAAATGATGATGAACGTGTTCCCATGAACTATTTGATGAAATGCTTGGCATGACATACGCAGGCTTCTCTTGCTGGGAAATCTTGCGCGCGCGTGGCATGCATGGCTGGTTGGTTTGGTCAGTTTGAGATACTAACTTTGAGAGATCATATCTCCTTCAATATTTGGCCATTTGGCCTAATCCAAAGAGCTACGTGAAGCTCACATGGCAAATCATAAAACTCTTTCTTTTAATTTTTTCAATTGAGACTTAAGTTAAAAGAAATTAAGCCATGAAAATGGCAGCAAAGTGTTTGTTAAAATGACTGCAGAGGCGTGTAACATGACTTGTCAACTTTAAAGCCTTGTGCCTAAAACTTCTAAGCCAATTTTCTCTCAAATGGCTCATAATTGAGACTTCCACCCACATTGACAAAGTCAAAGGATTTTCTTCAAGATTTCTGAATATGTATCATTTTCTTCATTTAAATAAAAAATGAGCAAGTTATGAGAAGTAAAAAATCAGTACTATGGAGACTTGGGGAATTTTCAAATGATCAAATAACTTCTTCCACAAGTTATCTTAAAATAAAATAATTCCCTTGATTTTATGACAAAATTGATCTTGAAATATTAAAATAAGGACAATGAATTTATGGTTGACCAAAAGTCCCCTTGGTCAACAGTTGACTTTGGTTGACTTTAGTAAAAAATGATTGTTTTACCCCTTTTGATCAATTGAACCCTTTCCAATCAAAATTGATGATCAATCCTCCAATAATAGATGCTCATGAACATGTAGAGAAGAATGTAATAAAGTCTTGTCCAAAAAGTCAAAGGTTTTCTGATTAAATTCAAAACCCTAGTTTTGACTTTCCGTGCTAGGAGATGGTGAGATGAATGTAATTGTGTCATTACCTACAATATGAACATTCAAAGAGACATATATACATATTTTGATGTTAGTTAAAAGAACACATGTACAAGATACACAATTTAGGGTGCTTGGTAATCCCTCAAGAGCAGACTTAAAGATGGGATGAAGTAGAAAGAGAGAACCAACCCTAATGTGTGATCTTGATGTATTGATGAAAGTGAGATGATGAGAAATCTTAGGGGAAAAAATTAGGGTATAACAGCTACCCTTATTTAAGTGTCTTCTATCCGGAGATACGAAGGTTAAAATCTTCATCTCGATGCGATTGAAGATACTTAAATATAAAATAAGCTCTATTTTTGGCCCTAAGATGCCATGAAAAGCTTATGATCATGCATGAAAACAAACAACTCCAAAGGTGACACATAACTCAACCGGGGAAGCAGAAAATAAAGCAAATAATCAAAAAGAGTGTTTGACCAGGAAAATAAATCACTAGAGATCAACACGACTTTGGGAATAATGGTTCAACCGGGGAAAAAACTCAGCTCCATTGGAGGAAAGTAAACTCCGCTGAGGAAAAGTAACCTTAACTCTACTGGGGTAAATCCCAAAGAGGAAACAAAGCATCAGTAACTTAATAAATGAGGAAAAATAATGGATAACAAAGATCGATTGATAACTGTGAACTATCCACTCATAGAGGAGATAGCAAAAACAGAATAATACCAGATCAATAGGGAATAGTAAATTACCAGACTCAACAGATGAAGGTAGAAAACAGAATAATATTGACTCAGTTATTTCGGTAAGCTACAAACTCAATGGTTGAAAGTAGAAAAAACATAGAATAATACCAACTTTTATTGATGGTAAAGAAACAGAAGACACACCGACGTTTACTGAAGGTGAACTACCAACTTTCACTGAAGGTAGAGATAAAAGATGCACCAACTTTTACTGAAGGTGAACTGCCAAATTCCACTAAAGGTAGAAAAAAATAGAGAAAACACCAACTTTTACTGAAGGTGAACTACCAACTTTCATTGAAGATAGAGAAAATAGAGAAAACACCAACTTTTACTGAAGGTGGGTTACCAACTTCCATTGAAGGCAGGATCTGTATGGATAATAACAAGTTTTCCCAAATCTGGTGTTCCACCTAGAACGAGTCTCAACTTCTTCTTTAACCAAGGCATCTCGTCTAGAAAAGCTAAATCACAAGCTGATCAAATAAATAGGTCACAACTCAAGGATTTTACAACAAACTTTTTTGTGAGACTTTTTCAAAGAGATGCCATTTGATGGAGAATCAGATAAACTTTCCCGAATTTTGGAGTAACGCGAGAGCTGGTCATAGTTGAAACAATCGGCTGAAAATCATCAAACAATAAAGTTGCCATTGAACTTCTTTTATCCCACATGAAGGGATATTTAAACATCGACAAAACCTGAGGAGGGAGAAGTCACGGTCTTGCGACCGAGAGATCAAGTAAGGGAGTCTGTTACGCGAGGGGTAGGTATTAGAACCCCACACGCCCGTAGTACTCTACGGTATCCACCCTTGTTATCTATCTTATGGGTGTGTCTAATCTATGCTTATTGCTTATTAATGAGGAAGAATGCATGCAAAAGAAAGGAGAAAATAATGTAGGGAAAATAAAGTTGTGCTCGCTTGGGCCTTACTCCAATGCCTATGTATCCTTTTTGAGGAATCAGAGTTACCATAGTTTGGCTCACATGTTTTGTTTGTTTTGTGTTTTTTATGAACAATGTTAATTCCGCCTTCTGCAGCAGCTCGACCTTTGGAGACTCACGCGTTGGCACAAAAGTAAATTAACATGTTCTCACCTGAAAATGATGTTAATTTACGCCATCAAGGCAAGATGTCACATTTGATTGGTTTGTGTTTTGTTACCTTGAAAAAGGGTTTAAGTGTGATTAACATGTTTTTTGATTTGCGAAGAAAAAGAGAGTTTTAGTTTTAAATGCATATGCAAAAAGGGGAAGAAAAGATTCTACGGGGGACTAGCCTATTTCTAAACCTAATGTTATCATACAATGGTAGCCCTACGTCAAAGATAAAAAGGAAATATCTACCTAATGTTAGCATGCACGGTTTGCGACCTAAGGTCTAACTTGCATTCAAAAGGATAAAGTACATCCTAAGGGAACATGGGATGTATAAGGATAAACAAACAATCTCAAAAGAGCACACACGTGAAATGGTAAGGAAAAGAAGCGAAATGTTTAGCCAAGGGGAGCGTATCACCCGAGACAAACAAGCAGGAGTAGGATGTAAAACAAAAATGTGATGTCCAAAGCGACTGAACACCTAACCAAGATATAGGAGATCAAGGTAGGCGACAAAAGACAATATGAACAATCAAGGAGTATCAACATAGGCCAATGCGAACTCCTGACAAAGCGTGGAGGTTAAATTTCGGAACCCTCCCCCACTTGACGAAATCGATACACAAGAGCAGGCACAACTCCGAAGCATCATGGTGTGTCACGAGCTAAGGATGACACATACGAAATTACAGGGGTTGATTGTGAAACCTCCCTGCTCACCTCTTTTTGAGGACTTCAATGAGGGATGAGGGAATAGATGCAATCAAAAATATAAACACACGTGCGAAATACCTACTTCAAAGGTAGAGTTTTAAACAGTCACAAATAGCACACAGAAAACACATAATGTGGAATTGCCCTAAGCGGGTCTTTAAATAAACCAGAGGGACTCTTGACATGATCAACAACAGAGATCCCCTTCATACATCTCTACCCTAATTCTCATGGCATCAGAAAGCAGTAAAGTCCTACTTCTCATTATCTCTAAAAATGCAGTAAAGAAGTACAATAAAGTGCAGAAATGAGGAATAAAATGAATTTTTGATGATACCTAATGGAGAAGGCCCGTTGCCTCTTCAAAACCACACAAGAAAAGAGAAAGCTCTACAGAAGCTGTTTCGCACAAGTGATCAAACAAATTAATCCCCAAGAATTTCATATTGAAAAAATTACATCAACATTTTATCACAAAATCTTAGCTAAAAATGACAATAAAAATGATTATTGAACATGAAAATAATAGAAAAATCTAATGAAAATGCTCAAGAGAGGTCCAACAGAATTCTAAAATGTTCTAATATTTTCGTATCATTTTTTTAAATTATTTTATCATGCAATAAAAATTAACAAAAGCCAATAAAAGAAATTGATAAAGAAAAATAAAATGAAAACATAAAGAGTTTAGGGGGTGCATAGTTACATCCAGGGGTAATATTACAAGAAAACTGAATTAATGCTAAGCCCAATATGAATGAGTCCATTAGCCATTTTTGTTCAATTACAATTCAAGCTTCCAAAATTCTTGTTGTATGGGCTTGAGAAGGATGAATTACGGTCCAGCCTCAACTGCATCAACAAGCCAATCAAATTTTTATTATTGAATAAAAAAATTAAACAATATTGAATAAATTGGAACGTTGTTTAGAAGAGGGTTAGGGTCTGGAATGAGTGATGTTCCTAATCCCACGATTTAAACCCCCCATCTCTTCTCTATGAACGGTGATCTTCGTATCTCTCTCTTGAACAATGTTGAATCATGTTATTCCTCTCCGATCAAGACGGCACCGCGAGCCAACTCTCCATCTACGATGAACTCCTTCCATTCCGAATATGTCTTCTATTCAAACTCTCACTCCCAAGATCAAGATTCGCCATCGTCTTTGAAGCTCTATCCAAATGATTTCTCCACGTCGTGAATAGGAGGCCCAAACCTCTTCTTTCTCAATCGCCGATGTCACCTCTCGTGCCACAACGTCGAAGTTGCCGCTCAATTTCTCCTCGAACTCAACACAAGCTCACCTTTCAACCTCCTCCTTTGTTCAAATTCATGCCATTATAAAGGATTTGCGGCCATGTACCTCTTTCGATTCCATTGTTGATCCCATCTTCGCGAATTCGTATTCAACTTTCTCGAAACAGAAATAGATGCAGATATACGAATCACATCGCTTCCTCATTTTCTCTTTCTTCTTTGAGTTTTTGATTTTCTTAAGCGCACAGTGATGTTGATCTTGTGCTGTTGAAAAATGTTGATGCAGTTGCGCTTCTGCAGAAAATGATGTTGATATCGAATCTTGCTGCCTAATGAGTATGAAGATGCAGGTTTTTGATGGAGATTGAAGTAATCTTTTCAGAATTATTGATGAGAAAGGTAGATTGCTTGAAGATTTGATGTAGCAAGACGATGATTGCAAATTCGAGAGAAGATTGAAGACTGTTGACGATGATGGAGCAGAATAATGTTGATGATGACTGCTGCAGATTGTGAAAGGCTATTCAAGTTGGAAGATGAAAATGAGAATTTATGGTAGAGGTTGCAGAGAATTTGAGGGAGAGATTGCAGAGAGATTGGAGGATGAAGAAAGGTTGCTGGTGGATGAAGGTAGTTATGGAGGGAATGTAAAGTTCCGCGTCTTTGTATGATTCTTCAGAGAGTGAATAATGAAATTTTTTAAGGTGAGTTTTTGTTTTCCTCTTTTTTTCTGTATGAACTCTTTTCTGGTTGAATAACTGTTAATGAATCTGAATCACTTTCTTCTCCCAGTTTTCTGTTATATCTTCTGTCAGAAGTTTGTTACAGAATTAGTTAGGACAGTTAGAGAATTGGTTAGTTTGTTGAGGAGTTAGTTGAGGAAGAGGTTGGAAAAGTTTTGATTTGGTTATGAAATTGTTAAGAGCAGTTATGTTATGCTAGTTGGAATTCGGTTAGGGGTTAGAGAGTTTGCTAAATTCTATTTCTGGGAGTTTCGGTTAGGACTGTTATCTATTCTTTCCTGCTGGAAGTTTGTTAGAGGTGATTAGGAGGTTAGAAACAATTAGGAATTTTGTTATGCTGTTTTCTGTTGCAAGTTAATTTCCTGATTTTCTCAAGTCCTCCTTCTGATTTTCTTCTATTTTGACTAAAGCCTAGTTTTCTATTTCTGATTATAAGGCTGTCTGATATTTTAACTGATGCAGGTCCATTTATTGTAGATCTTGAATGGGCAGCAGGCTTGTAGACAATACATATGTATTGGCATTTTCAGACTATACTGATATGAGCATAACTTTTCTTGACAACATGTTTGGATTGGAATTTATGCAGGCCAATGTTGTTTATCGCTATTGGTGATGAATGGAAGCTTTAGGCAGGGCATGGAGAATGTAGGAAACACAAAGATTTGTCAAGATTGGTCGTGGATTATTTGAGAACATCATGGAATGGTGAAGACAAAAGATGGAATCAAAGCTATAGAATTAGGCTTAGGCTAGTTCTATAACCATTTCTATGTAATTTTGAGAAGGTACGTGATATATTAATGATTTTGGAGTGGTGTTCATGTATTGGAAATGGTGTAATGGTAGTGGTTTTGTAAATGTAGTGACTTTTCAAAGTAGTTTTGAGTTCCCTCCTTTTCTCCCCATTTCTTAATAAGAAGTTTCAATCTTGCAATGTGAAAGAATGGCATAAGATAGCTCTTGAAAGCATAAGTAACACGATACATTTTGTAACACTTATAAATAATGCTTCTCGTATTAATGTCACTTGGATCTCGAACCCTCCTTGACATAGTGTCCTTGAGATGGAAACTTGCAAATGAACACTTGAAGGATATTGACATGTTTATGAAATAGATAATGCCCCGCTTGATTCTTGGTGATGAACCAAATCGTGAACTAATATCTTCCAATATTCGAATCAAAATCATATTTCTCCAAGGATTCAAAGTTCATTTTATCTTGCAATCATTCCTCCAACTTGTTCAATTTGTACCAAAATAACCACTTGTATGATGAATGACCAAATTTGAACATGTCTTGTAATTTCGATACCAACTTGAACATTTTCGGCTAAAACTTTTGACGACCTTGTAAAGAAGAACGGTATTGCACGATTTCGAAAATGATAACTTGAACCATGCCTTGGATGACATTGTCTTAAAACCTTAAGCGACAAGTAACTTGGAAATTATTCTATTCAGAAGAACTCATAAGCTCAATATCTTCTGTCATGGCCCAAAGTTTTGGTAATTCAATCCTCGTTGAAGAATTGAAAAACACAAGAAGGAGGGGTTAAATTGGGATCTTAAAAAATAATGCAAATGACACGATGATTTTTTTCCTGGTTCGTTTGAACTCAAACTACTCCAGTCCACCCGCCAAGGTGATTTCGCCTCTCTCCAACGAGGTCTTAATTCACTAATCAAACTTGATTACATAATTACTTTGACTACTGCCAAAGTCTTCTTGAGTTTAACCATATACCGGTTTATCTCAAGGAATTGCACTAAACAAAATATGAACAAAGCAGTGTACAATATGTTTTTCGTTACAAAAACAGTATCGCAAACTTGTGATGTATTACACAGTTTAGAGAATAGTATGAATAATGAGTAGTAGCGTTGAAGTGTATGAAATTGTAGTGTGAAAATCGTGAACGATTTATCCTTATCCGTTGTTTAATTAGGCGCAACAATCTTGAGTAATCGGAAACTTGATAAATGACAGTTAATGCACTTTCCTCAAATAAAAGATCCTTGTCTGTTTGTAGCCGTTGCAATTGATACAACTTTGATGAATTGTAACGCTTCAGAACATTAAGGAATCTATTTTCTGCTTGCTTCAGAACATTGGAAGGTCAGAATCATAAGGTCCTATTTGCAACATTAGACTTTCTTTCAGAGTTAAAACTTCTTTCTCTTAGCATAACTTCTGATCTTCATTCATTAAAACTTTCTGAGAATAGTCTACGTTCACAGCAGGAACATCCTTGTACCTTAACTTCTGATCTACTTCCATCAGAACTTCTCTACAAAACATAATGTAATTTTTAGAGTGCATATTTGTTCTTTGTGTTTGTTATCATCAAAACTCTTACGAGGGTTGTAGAATTAAACTATGTTCTAACAATATCCCCCTTTTTGATGATGACAAAAACTAAGATATTTCAATTAAAAATAGATAGAACATAAAGCATTAGAGAGTCTCCCCCTGAGTTGAGTACTCAGATAGAGATGAATTACTTCCCTGAAGTTCATTCTGATTAGAGATTTTGATGCATCTCCTTCTGTCTTTATCAAAGTTTTGTTCTTGTTTTGCTTTCAGAAAAAAAACGAGAAGTTATGATATTCAAAATGTTTGAGACTTTGTCTCGATATAATGTTATTGAAAATACCTTACGTTCTCCCCCTTTTTGTCAGGAATCAAAAAGCAATATAAACACTAATATTCAGAGTAAAAAAGATGAGTTATATTAAAACATGATTTCAATAACACTTTCAGAGCCAAATAAAACAAGATAAATGAATGCAGGAAACAAGTTTAAAAAAACTAAGATTGGGGAGGGGGAATTCGTGTGAACAACACTTCCAGCAAGCTCTTAATCTGAGTGCTTGATTCCTCTTGTTTTCCCAGCATTTCCTTGATTTCTTTGCTCGTGTCTTCTTGCTTGTCCAATCTTTCTTTGATTACTACATTCTCTTTCTTTAACTCTTCTAGAGTTTGCATAACTAAAGATGAAGCTGGTGTATCCACAGAAGATGCAAGTTTCTCAGAACACTCTGTAGCATTTTCTGATTCAGTGGCTTCTTCAGTTGCTTTGCCTTTGTCTTGAATAATAGCCAGAGGAATATTTCCAGAGAATGGTTCAATAATTTCTGAAGGTTGGTTCTCTTTCCAGGGAGCATTGTCCAACAGAAGAATCGATTTCCTTTCCCAGTGACTCAGAACTTGATCCTTGAAAACTTTCAGCTGATCACAAAAGTTCTGTTGGGTCAGTTCATAGCTTAATTCCTTGAGTTTCTGGGATTCTAAGTTGAACCATCTTCTGAACCGGTTCCAGTGAGAATTAGAAGCAGCAGGATTTAGATTTTGTAAGCTTGCTTGCTTCAAAGAGTTAACCCATTCCATTAATTCTGTTTAAAAAATCAATAAGTTTCTACCAACATCTGCTTTGGTGATAGTTGGTTTTGGTTTGGGAATGGCAATTTTGTGTGAGGTTAAGGGTAGGTGATCCAACGCTTCTAAGTCTATGACTGTTCTAAAGTGATCTTCTAGACGGTTAATAGGAGAGGGAGTAAGCGAATCAGAAATGATGATTGGTGATTGAGGTGTGTTTGGTGGAGTGGAATGGTAAGGTGATGAAATTTCTGGAATGTCTAGGATGGAGAGAGGTTGTCGAAGCATGAGAGATTCTGTTATTCAAGGAATTGGTGAGGTGGTATCAGAGTCTGTGTATGAATTTTCTGGTTGGTAAGGGGTAGTGTTGCACCCCAAAATTTGCCCTCCCATATTCTTCAAGAAATTGCCAAGCCAAGTCACAAAATTCCCCAAGGGTTGCCCAGTGCAAAGGTCTCCTATACAGTCAAAACTAGGGTTTGGGTTCTGATCAAGAAAATGAAGTTTTCAAAGGCCCAATCAAGTCTCATATGTCTACAAATATGGTCAAGCATCCTCATATCAAGTTTCAGGGCATTCAGCTCAAAATTGCACAGTCAAAACCCTAAATTGTACTACAGTCAACTGTAGGGGCAAAATGGTCATTTGACAGTCAAAAGTTCAAATTTTCGGTCAACATATCATTTTGAAGCCACAAACATCATTTGATCAATGCTTGATCATGATTCTCAAAATTTGGCTCAGAAAATCATCAAGATGCAAAAGTTACTATATTTGGACAGCTGAAAAAGTCAACTGAAATTGACCAGGGCATAACTTTCACATGGATTATCATAAAAATTCCATCCGAAGCTCATTTTGAAGAGAAAGACATTTCCTACAACTCATCTTCATACTTCAAGTCCAAGAAATGCTCTCACAAAAAGTTATCAATTTCAACATTATAGGTCATTTTCAAAAGTCAACAAAAAGGGACTTTAAGTCAAAGGCCATAACTTGAGATTGGTAAATCAAAATGACATGGGACCAAAGACATTGGTTATAGGACTCAAAGACCTTTCCAAAATGTCCAAGAACATGTGAAAATCTTAAAAATTGAGCAAGTTATGCCTTGTGGAAGTTGGGAAATTTTTGGATATTTTGAAAAGTCAACATTGATTCAAATGACCTAAAAATGCTAATGGGCCCATTTTTCTTCCATGATTCATCATTCCAAGCATGTGCACGACCACTTGGCCCAAAGGGAAGTATTTTCTCATTTTTTATTTATTTATTTGAATTATTATTTATATTAATTCATTTAAATTATTTAAATACATGAAAAATATCAAACTTGCCTTAACAAATCTTTTTGTACACATTTCAGCCTCAATATTTCGTGCACATCCCAACATGGAAAGATTTGGTTTGATTTAGGCTAATTGATACAAAAATACATGTGAAAAAGATATGGAAAGATCTTATGAAATCAAATTTGCAAAAACCATTAATTCATTGGATTTGCTCTACTTTTGTTAACCTAATAGCTTCACTACATAATCAGAAACCTAAACCTAATGCATAGAGACTGAAAGCTACGCTAAAAGTCCATGAACAAACTTGGAAAAATTCTCTAAAAAGTAAAAACTGTAAACCACTCTAGAGGTCGATTCAGAGCATAATATTGGTTTCAATAGCTTCCTTGAAGGTCCCTGATCAGATTCCAATCACAAACCTCCACTCAAACGCCAAGAATTGGTATTTTGAACTTTAACTGTACAACAAAAATTCCATAATCGTACATCCCATTCTATGCATTGTTTGTGAAATTTAATGGTTGATTTGTGTTCACTATGAAGTTTTAAAGCTAATCCATATCTTTAATTGCGTTTTTCTGTGTTGTATGAGATTATGCCATAACTGCTTTTCTAGGGTTTACAAAGCTCAAAATTAGGGATTTGCAAACGAGGAAAAATTAAGCCTTAAGACCACCATGGTTGTACTCAACGCATCTGGACGAAGAGACTGACCTACTCGCGCCCAATTTATAGACACCATAGCGCTAGTCGCTATTTTCTTGAAACTAACCTTAGGCAACGCATCCAAAACCGTTGCCCCATGTTTTTATTTTCAGGAAAACGAA